CTTAGAATTACAGCCTACAATAAAAAAAACAACAAATTTCCATTGAAAATAATGTACCGCTTTGAGCACAGAAATACTGACATAATCACACCGCTAGGGAGGTTAAGTTCAATGGTCAGAATAATAACTTATACTGGCCATTGAAATAAATGAACGCTCGAGCTTTAAATGTGCCTGGTGTTAACATGTATTTAGATGAATTTACACGCATCAAGCGTTTTTTTCTTCTACTGGATGCACTGGCCCTGGGTTTTTTTTACTGCTACTAAAAGCTTCTAAAAATCTGTGTGTGCATGGAGACATAAGGTACCATGGAGGGCCGTTTGAAAGCAGTAAAGAAAAAAAAAAACAAAAAAACGCCTGATGCCCCTAAAAGTGGCTGCAAAAACGCCCTGTGTGCATGAGGCCTAACGCTTCATTCACACAGGTGTACTACAGCATTCACCCATGGGAGGGCCGGGTTCATCTACACAGGGATACGCAGGTGTTCCGTGCAGGCAGTCCCGATCATATCAGTTGGGATGCAGCTGCTGCATGGACACAGATGCTGCTCCCCATACCCACCCTGTCTGTGTTTGGGCCCTTGCATCTGTTTCCCACACTACTGTCAAATTGGCGGCAGCAGCTATGTCTGTGCAGCCGCTGCATCCCAATTGACACGCATGGGACACCTGTGCATTCCTGGATGGGTAAGCCCCACCATCGATCAGGTGTATGCTGTAGTACACCTGTGTGAATGAGGCATGTATATATATATATATATATATATATATATATATATGTATATGTATATATATATGTATATATATGTGTGTGTGTATATATATGTGTGTGTGTGTATGTATATATATGTGTGTGTGTGTGTGTGTATGTATGTGTGTGTGTGTGTGTGTGTGTGTGTGTGTGTGTGTATGTATGTGTGTGAATATTTTTATATATATATATATATACATACATACATACATACATACACATTTTATATATATATAATAATACACACAGGGGACACCTGTGCATTCCTAGATGGGTAAGCCCCACCATCGATCGGGTGTATGCTGTAGTACACCCGTGTGAATGAGACGTGTAAAATATATATATATATATATATATATATATATATATATATATAGTGTGTATAATATATATAATATATTATACACACATTTTAAATATATGTGTGTATAATATATATATATATATATATATATATATATTTATATAAAATCTGTATACACACACACACACACACACACACACACACATATATATATATATATATAAATATATATATATATATATAATATATATATTACACACAGGGGACACCTGTGCATTCCTGGATGGGTAAATCTCCACCATCTATCGGGTGTACACTGTAGTACGCCATTGTGAATGAGTCCTAACAGACCTCTGTATGGTAGAAGGAATGTGAATATTGTGATCTATCCTCATGCTCTAATGCACGGGTGTCAAACTGGCGTCCCTCCAGCTGTTGCCAAACTACAAGTCCCATGAGGCATTGCAGGATTGACAGTTCCACGCATGACTCCCAAAGGAAGAGGCATGATGGGACTTGTAGTTTGGCAACAGCTGGAGGGCCGCCAGTTTGACACCCCTGCCCTAATGTATGTAACAGTACAGTTTAGCATCTCTAGGAATGCTCTGATTGGGTAGTGGTCGGCTGTTTTTATGCGTCTGTTTCTCACCCAGGGCTCCGTAGGGAAAGTAGCGGGATATTTGAATATCAAGACTCCTGGGACCAGTTCTCAGACTGTAAATACAACCTTGAAGACTCGTGGGAAAACGGTTACCTGCTGAAGCGTCGTGCGACCCCCCTCCCAGCCACCTCTCTTCTATGACCAGCCCGACCTGTCCAGCCTCATAGATACAAACTTCTCGGAACAGGTGAAGCAGGAACCAGAGAACGTTCAGCAGCCTGTGCAGGTGAAGCAGGAGGTGGACAATGGCGGTTATGATTTCAGCAGTTTGGTTCAGCGAGCCTACGAGGAGCACAGTGCCCTCCAGCGTGGCCACATATCCGCCGGTATTCTCGCCTGCTCCGTACGGGCAGTGCCAGGCGTTGTCGGGACGGAGCAGATCCCCTGGAAAGCCGATCGGAGGCAAGCTGCAACTCTTTCAGAAGGAAGAGCTCGGCTGAAGAGCTTACATTCTGTAATGGGACCCTCATCCCCTGTTGCCAGCTGGACGGAAGAGTTTGACAGTGCAGTGTGGAGTCTGGGGCTCCAGGGTAACTTGATTGTTGCTGGCCGGAGTAATGGAAGTCTGGAGGTAAGAGGGGGAAATCCTTGTTCTGTTCATTACATGTAGTAGTAGAAAATTAGTGATCAGTTTTGTGCTGTTGGAAATTGCTGATCAGTTCCCCTCCAAAGATAACTGACTGCTCTCTGCACGGCATTTTAGTAGCTGCTATCGTGTGTGTACACACATACACACGCACACGTACACACGCACACACACGCACACACACACGTGTACACACACGCGCACACGTTGGTCAACTTTGGGGACATGCTACAATTTCTGGTCAGACTGGGGGGATATGGTACAAGAGCTGCTCAGAGACAAAGAAGTCATGCTACAGGAGCTGGTCAGAGACACAGTGGACATGCTACAGCATATGGTTAGAGATTGGGGACATGCATCATGAGATTGTCAGAGACACAGAGGACATGCTACAGTTGTTGGTCAGACTAGGGACATGCTATAGGAGATGATCATAGGTTTGGGGACATGCTTCAGGAGATGATCATAGGCTGGGGACATGCTTCAGGAGCTGGTCAGAGACACAGATGACAATACTACAGGAGTTGGCCAGCTTTGGAGACATGGTATTGTTGCTGTTCAGACTTGAGGACATGGCACAGGAGGTCCTCAGAGAGACAGAAGACATGCTAGAGGAGATGGTCAGAGACACAGAGGACATGCTACAGGAGATGATCAAAGATTGGGGACATGCTTCAGGAGATTGTCAGAGACACAGAGGACAGGCTACAGTTGCTGGTCAGACTTGGGGACGTACTACAGTTGCTGGTCAGACTTGGGGACATGGTACAGTTGCTGGTCAGACTTGGGGACATGGTACAGTTGCTGGTCAGACTTGGGGACATGGTACAGTTGCTGGTCAGACTAGGGACATGCTACAGGAGATGATCATAGGCTGGGGACATTCTGCAAGAGATGATCATAGGCTGGGGACATGCTTCAGGAGTTGGTCAGAGACACAGATGACAATACTGCAGGAGTTGGTAAGCTTTGGAGACATGGTATTGCTGCTGTTCAGACTTCAGGACATGGCGCAGGAGGTTCTCCGAGAGACAGAAGACATGCTAAAGGAGCTGGTCAGAGACACAGGGGACATGCTACAGGATATGGTCAGAGATTGGGGACATGCTTCATGAGATTTTCAGAGACACAGAGGACTTGCTGGTTAGACTTGGGGACATACTGCAGTTGTTGTCAGACTAGGGACATGCTACAGGAGATGATCAAAGATTGGGGACATGCTTCATGAGATTGTCTTTGACCATCTCCTGAAGCATGTCCTCAGTCTATGACAGTCTCATGAAGCATGTCCCCAATCTTTGACCATCTCCTGTAGCATGTCTTCTGTGTCTTTGATCATCTCCTGAAGCATGTCCTCAGTCTATGACAATCTCATGAAGCATGTCCCCAATCTTTGACCATCTCCTGAAGCATGTCCCCAGCCCATGATCATCTCCTGTAGCATGTCCCAAAGTCTGACCAGTGACTGTAGAATGTCCCAAGTCTGACCAGCAACTGTAACGTGTCCTCTTTGTCTTTTGACCATCTCCTGAAGCATGTCCCCAGCCCATGATCATCTCCTGTAGCATGTCCCAAGTCTGACCAGCAACTGTAACGTGTCCTCTTTGTCTTTTGACCATCTCCTGAAGCATGTCCCCAGCCCATGATCATCTCTTGTAGAATGTCCCAAGTCTGACCAGCAACTGTAACGTGTCCTCTTTGTCTTTTGACCATCTCCTGAAGCATGTCCCCAGCCCATGATCATCTCCTGTAGCATGTCCCAAGTCTGACCAGCAACTGTAAACGTGTCCTCTTTGTCTTTTGACCATCTCCTGAAGCATGTCCCCAGCCCATGATCATCTCCTGTAGAATGTCCCAAGTCTGACCAGCAACTGTAACGTGTCCTCTTTGTCTTTTGACCATCTCCTGAAGCATGTCCACAGTCTATGACAAAGAGGACACATTACAGTTGCTGGTCAGACTTGGGACATTGTACAGTCACTGGTCAGACTTTGGGACATGCTACAGGAGATGTTCATGGGCTGGGGATTTGCTTCAGGAGATGGACAGAGACACAGATGACATGCTACAGTTTCTGGTCAGACTTGGGGCATGATACAGTTGTTGGTCAGATGTGGGGATATGGTACAAGAGATGCTCAGAGAGACAGAAGACATGCTACAGGAGATGGTCAGAGACTAGGGACATGGTACAGTGGTAGATGGTCAGAGACTGGGAACATGCTTCAGGAGATGATTAGAGAAAGGAGTTGATACATTACATGAGACTACTAAAGATGGCTATCTGCTGGGACCCAGAGGGCCACACAGGAAGTGCAAAGGGACACCGGGTGGGCACCAGGATTCTTAGCTTCTTTCAGTATAACATCTAGATTCATAGTCCTTGATAAGGAGAGGCATCTACATTCATAGTCCTTGGTGAGGAGAGGCATCTACATTCATAGTCCTTGGTGAGGAGAGGCATCTACATTCATAGTCCTTGGTGAGGAGAGGCATCTACATTCATAGTCCTTGGTGAGGAGAGGCATCTACATTCATAGTCCTTGGTGAGGAGAGGCATCCTCTACAATCCTCCCAGACTGATAGAGTGAAATGAATTCCTCCCACTGCATAGTTCCTGTTTTGTTGCATTAACCTGAACCCACGGCAGAGCAGCCGCACCTCTTCTAATGTTCTGTCTCTCCTCAGGTCTGGGACGCTATAGAAGGCATTCTGCGCTGCAGCAGCAACGATGGCCAGAGCGGAATAACTGCGCTGGTTTTCTTAAATCACCGGTATGTAGGCTTCCCATCTTTGCAGCACAATGTTTACCCCGCCAGGGCCGTGGATAAGGGGGTACGACCGGTCCTTCTGTACGGGGCCCAGGAAGCTGGGTGAATCTGATGTGGGCAGGGAGGGTGAGCAGGGCAGTTACCGGAACCAATCCCTTGTACGGCTCTCCCTGCAGCAGCTGAAAGCTGGGATCTTCTCCTCTCCCCTCCTCCAGCTAGCTTTCAGCTGCTGCAGAGAGAAACATACGGGGGATCAGTTCCAGTAATTTACCAACCCCTTCAATTCCTAAATGAACACAATGAGTGATCGATACCGATCACTCATTGTATTCATTCATAACTGAAGCACAGTAAACTGTGTGTTTTTTTTGTTGGGATGGGGGGCCCTGTTTGGTTGGCTGTATGGGGCCCTGTGGTTTGGGGAGTAGGGGGGGCCTGTCAGGTTGGTTGTAAGGGGCCCTGTGGTTTTCTAACAGCAGCCCCCTGTGTACTGCCTGTGTTCTACTGTCCTTTCAGTTAAATGTTATGCCACAGTCATGCAAAGCTTTATGACCCAAATCACCCAGTTCTTTGCTCGCTAAGACCACAAGCATGATCCCGAACCCTTTAATGCAGTCTCTGTATCTAATCCGCCTGCGGCTGTCCGTGGCTTCTGAACCATCCAAACAGAAACTCAGATTTTGAGGCTGAAAAGCTTAACCCTGAGGAGTCGGTCTACTACTGCCTCCATCAATAAAGCTGAAGTGTCTGCTGTCATTTGGGAATAAAGTATGCACCTAGGGGATGGGCCTGTTGCTTCTGCTACCTGTTCTTTTTAAACTCTTCCAGTCCAGACACTTCCCCCCCGCCCCCCCCCTTCCAGTCCGGACGCTTTTCCCCCCCCCCCCCTTCCGGTCCGGATACGCTTTCCCCCCCCTTCCGGTCCGAATAACGCTTTCCCCCCCCTTCCCGGTCCGGACGCTTTCCCCCCCCCTTCCTGGTCCAGCTTTCCCCCCCCCCCCCCTTCCGGTCCAGGACGCTTTTCCCCCCCCCCTTCCGGTCCGGACGCTTTCCCCCCCCCCTTCCGGTCCGGACGCTTTCCCCCCCCCCCCCCTTCCGGTCCGGACGCTTTCCCCCCCCCTTCCGTCCGGACGCTTTCCCCCCCCCCTTCCGGTCCCGGACGCTTCCCCCCCCCCCTTCCGGTCCGGACGCTTTTTCCCCCCCCCTTCCGGTCCGGACGCTTTTCCCCCCCCCCCCCTTCCGGTCCGGACCGCTTTCCCCCCCCCCTTCCGGTCCGGACGCTTTCCCCCCCCCTTCCGGTCCGGACGCTTTTCCCCCCCCCCCCTTCCGGTCCGTAACGCTTTTCCCCCCCCCCTTCCGGTCCCCGGACGCTTTCCCCCCCCCTTCCGGTCCGGACGCTTTCCCCCCCCCCCTTCCGGTCCGGACGCTTTCCCCCCCCCTTCCGGTCCGGACGCGTTCACCCCGTTTCCCCCCCCCCTTCCGGCCTCGGACGCTTCCCCCCCCCCCTTCCGGCCTGGACGCTTTTCCCCCCCCCCCCCCCCCCTTCCGGCCTGGACGCTTTCCCCCCCCCCTTCCGGCCTGGACGCTTTCCCCCCCCTTCCGTCCCCCCCCCCTCCCGGCCTGGACGCTTTCCTTCCCCCCCCCCTTCCGGCCTTGACCTTTCCCCTCCTTCCAGCCCTTGACACTTTCCCCTCCTTCCAGCCTTGACACTTTCCCCTCCTTCCAGCCTGGACACTTTCCCCCCCTTCCAGCCTGGACACTTTCCCCCCCTTCCAGCCTGGACACTTTCCCCCCCCCCTTCCCAGCCTGGACACTTTCCCCCCCCTTCCAGCCTGGACACTTTCCCCCCCTGCCAGCCTGGACACTTCCCCCCCTTCCAGCCTGGACACTTTCCCCCCCTTCCAGCCTGGACACTTTTCCCCCCCTTCCAGCCTGACACTTTTTCCCCCCCTTCCAGCCTGGACACTTTCCCCCCCCTTCCAGCCTGGACACTTTCCCCCCCTTCCAGCCTGGACACTTTCCCCCCCTTCCAGCCTGGACACTTTCCCCCCCTTCCAGCCTGGACACTTTCCCCCCCTTCCAGCCTGGACACTTCCCCCCCTTCCAGCCTGGACACTTTCCCCCCCCCCCTTCCAGCCTGGACACTTTCCCCCCCTTCCAGCCTGGACACTTTCCCCCCCTTCCAGCCTGGACACTTTCCCCCCCTTCCAGCCTGGACACTTTCCCCCCTTCCAGCCTGGACACTTTCCCCCCCTTCCAGCCTGGACACTTTCCCCCCCCTTCCAGCCTGGACACTTTCCCCCCCTTCCAGCCTGGACACTTTCCCCCCCTTCCAGCCTGGACACTTTCCCCCCCCCTTCCAGCCTGGACACTTTCCCCCCCCTTCCAGCCTTGACACTTTCCCCCCCCTTCCAGCCTGGACACTTTTCCCCCCCTTCCAGCCTGGACACTTTCCCCCCCTTCCAGCCTGGACACTTCCCCCCCCCTTCCAGCCCCCACTTTCCCCCCCGTCAGCCTGGGACACTTTCCCCCCCTTCCCTGGACACTCCCCCCCCCCCCCCCCTTCCAGCCTGGACACTTGCCCCCCCCTACCCCCCCCCCCCCCCCCCCCTTCCCAGCCTGGACACTTTCCCCCCCCCCCTTCCAGCCTGGACACTCCCCCCCCCCCCCCCTTCCAGCCTGGACACTTTCCCCCCCCCTTCCAGCCTGGACACTTTCCCCCCCTTCCAGCCTGGACACCCCCCTTTCCCCCCCTTCCAGCCTGGACACTTTCCCCCCCCCCCTTCCAGCCTGGACACTTTCCCCCCCTTCCAGCCTGGACACTTTACCCCCCCCCCCCCTTCCAGTCCTGGACACTTTCCCCCCCCCTTCCCCCCCCCTTCCAGCCTGGACACTTTCCCCCCCCTCCAGCCCTGGACACTTTCCCCCCCTTCCAGCCTGGACACTTTCCCCCCCTTCCAGCCTGGACACTTTCCCCCCCTTCCAGCCTGGACACTTTCCCCCCCTTCCAGCCTGGACACCCCTTCCCCCCCCCCTTCCAGCCTGGACACTTTCCCCCCCTTCCAGCCTGGACACTTTCCCCCCCTTCCAGCCTGGACACTTTCCCCCCCTTCCAGCCTGGACACTTTCCCCCCCCTTCCAGCCTGGACACTTTCCCCCCCCCCCCTTCCAGCCTGGACACTTTCCCCCCCCTTCCAGCCTGGACACTTTCCCCCCCCCTTCCAGCCTGACACTTTCCCCCCCTTCCAGCCTGGACACTTTCCCCCCCTTCCAGCCTGGACACTTCCCCCCCCCCTCCCCCCCTTCCAGCCTGGACACTTCCCCCCCCCCTTCCAGCCTGGACACTTCCCCCCCCCCCCTTCCAGCCTGGACACTCCCCCCCCCCCCCCCCCTTCCAGCCTGGACACACCCCCCCCCCCCCCTTCCAGCCTGGACACTTTCCCCCCCTTCCAGCCTGGACACTTCCCCCCCCCCCCCTTCCAGCCTGGACACTTTCCACCCCCTTCCAGCCTGGACACTTTCCCCCCCTTCCAGCCTGGACACTTTCCCCCCCTTCCAGCCTGGACACTTTCCCCCCTTCCAGCCTGGACACTTTCCCCCCTTCCAGCCTGGACACTTTCCCCCCCTTCCAGCCTGGACACTTCCCCCCCCCTTCCAGCCTGGACACTTTCCCCCCCTTTTCCAGCCTGGACACTTTCCCCCCCCTTCCAGCCTGGACACTTTCCCCCCCTTCCAGCCTGGACACTTTCCCCCCCTTCCAGCCTGGACACTTTCCCCCCCCTTTCCAGCCTGGACACTTCCCCCCCCCCCTTCCAGCCTGGACACTTTCCCCCCCCCTTCCAGCCTGGACACTCCATTTCCCCCCCTTCCAGCCTGGACACTTTCCCCCCCTTTCCAGCCTGGGACACTTTCCCCCCCCTTCCAGCCTGGACACTTTCCCCCCCTTCCAGCCTGGACACTTCCCCCCCCCCCCCCCCCTTCCAGCCTGGACACTTTCCTTCCCCCCCCCCCCCCCTTCCAGCCTGGACACTTTCCCCCCTGGTCCCCCCCCCCCCTTCCAGCCTGGACACTTTCCCCCCCCTTCCAGCCTGGACACTTTCCCCCCCCCCCTTCCAGCCTGGACACTTCCCCCCCCCCCCCCCCCCCTTCCAGCCTGGACACTTCCCCCCCCCCCTTCCAGCCTGGACACTTTCCCCCCCCCCCTTCCCAGCCTGGACACCCCCCCCCCCCCCCCCCTTCCAGCCTGGACACTTTCCCCCCCTTCCAGCCTGGACACTTTCCCCCCCTTCCAGCCTGGACACTTTCCCCCCCCCCCTTCCAGCCTGGACACTTTCCCCCCCTTCCAGCCTGGACACTTTCCCCCCCTTCCAGCCTGGACACTTCCCCCCCCCCTTCCAGCCTGGACACCCCCCCCCTTCCCAGCCTGGACACTTTCCCCCCCTTCCAGCCTGGACACTTCCCCCCCCCCCTTCCAGCCTGGACACTTTCCCCCCCCCCCCCCCCCCTTCCAGCCTGGACACTTTTCCCCCCCCCCCCTTCCAGCCTGGACACTTCCCCCCCCCCTTCCCCAGCCTGGACACACTTCCCCCCCCCCCCCCCCCTTCCAGCCTGGACACTTACCCCCCCCCTTCCAGCCTGGACACCCCCCCCCTTCCAGCCTGGACACTTCCCCCCCCCCCCCCTTCCAGCCTGGACACTTTCCCCCCCTTCCAGCCTGGACACTTTCCCCCCCCTTCCAGCCTGGACACTTTCCCCCCCCCTTCCAGCCTGGACACTTTCCCCCCCTTCCAGCCTGGACACTTTCCCCTTCCAGCCCTTCCCCCCCTTCCTGCCTGGACCCTTTCCCCCCCTTCCAGCCTGGACACTTCCCCCCCCTTCCAGCCTGGACACTTCCCCCCCCTTCCAGCCTGGACACTTCCCCCCCCTTCCAGCCTGGACACTTTCCCCCCCCTTCCAGCCTGGACACTTTCCCCCCCTTCCAGCCTGGACACTTTCCCCCCCTT